TAAAGTTATTCCACAAAGCACAAGCAAAAGAAAACAGAAGTAACTGTATTGATAGCAAATAAAGTATTTAAGATAAAGAAACAATGACCAGGGTAAAGAATATAATTTTGTGTGAATAAATGCTACAGTTGATAATGCAATGTACTACTTGTTTTATCTTTATGTATAAAACAATGACATTAAAATAAACTAAAGAAATCTTGATTATTATCACAGACTAGTGTATCACTATTATACTATGACAGATCAAGAATTTGTTATACACACACACACACACACACACACACACACACAGAGGAAAATGTTCTCTGAAACTTTCTTGTTTTAAACAGTCATGGATGATTTACTGAAATTGATTATAAAAACTATCCACCAAGAAACCTCAATAAATTATAAAAAGTAGAAATAATTCAATCTATATTTCTTGACTGTAGAGCACAAAGCTAGAAATTAAAAACAGCATCTTAATAAAAGAAACTTCAGCCACTTGGAACCAAAAATTCTCTTCTAGATAATTATTTGGTTAAAGAGAAAATCTAATATATACAGTTTTTTTAGAAAATGAGAATAGATTATTTAGAGACTCCTGGCCAAGAGGGAGGCAGAGGTAAATATGCTTTACTTCCTCACACAATCAAAAGAAGGACAACAACAAATTTAAAAACAGAAAACAACCAGAACTGCCAGAATATCTAACTGTATGGAAGTCTGACAACTAAGGAGTTAAAGAAGAAACATTCATCCAGACTGGTAGGAGGGGTGGAGACAGGCAGCCAGGGCAGAGAAGACTCATGGCAAGGCGAAGGACCAGGAAAGCTAGGTGGTGGCTGGCAGACTGGATGGTCCTACATTTGGTGCCAATAAGCTAGAAGGAACAATTGGGGAGCGAGACAGACCACACAACCCAGGGTTCCAACATGGGGAACTAAAGCCTCAAAACCTCCTGCTGTAAAAACCTGTGGGGATTGCAGTGGTGGCAGAAACTCCCAGCTCCACAGGAGAGTTCGTTGAAGAGACCTATAGGATCTTAGAACGTACACAAACCCACCCATCCAGGAATCAGCACCAGAAGGGCCCAATTTGCTTGTGGAAAGTGGGGGAAGTGACTTAAAGCCGCCAAGAGCCCAGCAAGCATCATTGTTCCCTCTCAGATCCCTCTGCCACATACAGCGCCACACAGCAGCCAAGTGGGTAGCTCTGCCCTGGTGAATACCTAAGGCTCCTCTCCTTACAATGTAACAGGAACACAAAACAAATAACTATGGCCAAACTGAAACAACAGATCAAAACTCCAGAAAAAGAACTAACAAACAAGGAGATAGTCAACCTATCAGATGTAGAGTTGAAAACACTGGTAATCAGGATGCTCACAGAAACAATTGAGTATGGACACAAAATAGAGGAAAAAGCAAAGCCTATACAAAGTGAGATAAAAATCTACAGGGAACGAACAGTGAAGGGAAGGAAACTGGGACTCAAATCAATGATTTGGAACAGAAGGAAAAAAAATAAAAATTCAGCTGGAACAGAATGAAGAAACAAGAATTCAAAAACATGAGGAGAGACTTAGGGACAACTTCAAACGTTCCAACATCCGAGTCATAGGGGGCCAGAAGGAGAAGAGGAAGAGCAAGACATGGAAAACTTCTTTGAAAAAATAATGAAGGAGAACTTCCCCAATATGGTCAAGGAAATAGACTTTCCAGGAAGTCCAGGAAACTCAGAGACTACCAAAGAAGGTGGACTCAAGGAAGCACACACCAAGGCACACCATAATTGCATTACCCAAGGTTAAAGATAAGGAGAGAATCTTAAAAGCAGAAAGAGAAGGAGACAGTTACCTATAAAGGAGTTCCCATAAGACTATCAGCTGATTTATCAAAAGAAATCTTATAGGCAAGAAGGGGCTGAAAAGAAGTATTCAACGTCATGAAAGGCAAGGATCTACATCCAACATCACTTCTATCCAGCATAGCTATCATTTAGAATGGAAGGGCAGATAAAGTGCTTCTCAGATAAGGTCAAGTTAAAGGAGTTCACCATCACCAAGCCCTTATGATATGAGATGTTAAAGGGATTTATCTAAGAAAAAGAAGAAGATCAAAACTATGAACAGTAAAACGACAACAAACTCACAATTATCAATAACTGAACCTAAAAAACAAACAAACAAAAAAAAAAAAGCTAAGCAAACAACTAGAACAGGAACAGAATCACAGAAATGGAGATCACATGGAGGGTTATCAGTGGGGAAGTGGGGGGGAAAGAATTGGGGAGAAGGTACAGGGAATAGGAAGCATAATTGGTAGGTACAAAATACACAGGGGAAAGTTAACAGTTGTATAGGAAATAGAGAAGCCAAAGAACTTATATGTATGACCCATAGACATGAACTAAGGATGGGGGGGTGCTTGGGTAAGGGGGGATTGTAGGGCTTAGGGAGATAAAGAGGAAAAAAAATAGGACTATTGTAATAGCCTAATCAATAAAATATACTTTAAAAATGAGAATAAAATTTATCAAATCTTATAAGCTTTTCCCGAATTCTTATTTAAAGGTAATTTCATATCCCAATTTTTTATTATTAAAGGAAAGAGATCAATTCAATCATACAAATGAAAAGTTTTAAAAAATATCTGCACCTCTACCCAAGTGCAAAAATAACTCTCCAGAAAATAAAATGAGAAAATACAATCATAAAGGACACCATTCACAATGGCAACTAAAGAGATACCTAGGAATAACACTCTTAAAATTATCCATATGAATAAAATAAAATTTTATTCAGACATTTAAGAACACTTGAAAAAATTTAGAAATATACTATGTTCCTGATAGGGAGGCTAAATATTGTAAAAATATAAATTAGTTTCTAATTTATTCTATCTCCAAGTATTGGCATATGGGTAATTTTCTAACAATGGAACTTCAAAAATTATGTATATAAATTTATACATATTTACTCTAAATTTATATATCTTACTGTTTTATGTTTACTATACTGCAGCTATAAAAGATGTGTAGTGCACAACTTACAAATAATAATAAAATACACACTACTCCCTATTGTAATTTTCATATAATCAATTCTCACACAATGCCAAACTGATTGACATAAATAGTATTTTGCTTTTGTCATAAATAGTATCAGTTCTCACACAGTGGTAAACTCTGACATAAATAGCTCAAAAGAAAAATAAAATCTGCCACTCCGTTATATATTTCTAGTTTTCACCCAAAAATAAAGATAAAGTTTGAAAAATTAAGAAATAGGTACAGTTCAATATGAATATTTTTATTTACATTACTGTATAAACAAACATGAATCAACAAAGATGTATATCCAGACTGCATTCATCCACTAATGATATGACTTCTTTGCTAAATCAGATAATAGTTTTTAAATATTAAAAGAATTTTTTTTCATTATGGTCTTCCAAGAATTACATGATATAGTAGCAAATTTCTCTAGCTAAGAAACCTCAGGAGTGGTCATATCCTTCAAGTCAGAGTTTATGTATTTATTTTTTTAAAGAGACACATCTTAGACTGGCTCTGTCCTCCTGGCATTTTTGTTTGTTTGTTTTAAGATTTTATTTATTCATTTCTAGAGAGAAGGAAAGGGAGAAAGAAAGAGAGGGAGAAAAACGTCGATGTGTGAGAGAAACATCAACCTGTTGCCTCCCACATGCCCCCAAGTGGCCTGCAGTCCAGGCATGTGTCCTGACTGGGAATCGAACGAGTGACCTTCCGGTCTGCAGGCCTGCACCCAAAGCACTGAGCCACACCAGGCAGGGCTCAAGTCAGAGTTCAATAATCATGCGGTCAGTTGAGGAATTGGTGTTTTGTAAGATTAATAAGCTTCAAGCTGGGGGTTTGTGCATGAGCATACATCTGTCTGTTAGGGAACTCTTGGCATAAGTTTAGGCTGCACTGAGGGTCCAAAAGAAAATAATAATGAAATAAAATTTCTCAAGTTTTTTGTGCTCTTAAAAATGTTGCAGCTACGGAGATGACACACTTTTACATTTAATCTGCTTCATTAATTGTTTTCCCCATCATTTTCTCAAATTTAAACAATCCAGAAATAAATTGGGATAACTTGCCATATTCCATTGTATAGTATCCTTCCATTTTGGCTGATTCCAGGCTTCCAAAGAAAGGCGTACCATTATTGTTAGGTGTGCACATTTCCAGCAAGTGGTTAGAGACAGAAGATAAGGAAAACTACCGCCTAGAATTTTCTATCTAAGCTTTTCCAAATGTCTTGTTGTTATTTTTCAAAGACTCTCAAAAATGGTTTGTTCTTTCACAATAGTTTAAAAGTGTTCTTTGAATCTCTCCCTATATCATTATATACTCTTCCTAATTAGTCTTTCCTTGGTGAAAATACAGAATAAGTGAATGACATAAATTTGTGATAAATTTGAATATTCTGTTAACTCTAGGGATGATGTCTTGCGTTCTTCTCTTCCTTCTACTCCAAAGAAGTGCTGGCTTAGAAGCAACGTCTGTGTCTAGGGCTGCCAAAAATCCATACATAAAAAAACAACCAGAATCAGGGTTCCTGAATGTGGTGGGGGTCCCGACAGGTAACCAGAGCATGGCAACAGGGAACCTGGAACACAGTGCTCAGAGTATAAGGTATTCTATTGTAGAGAGAGCAGTCCCAGACGCCAGGCTCTGATTAAGGGGCCTGGCATTCATGCCCAGGAGTGGGGACCAGAAAGAGACAGCAGAGCCTAACTCAAACTGCTAGGCACATTGTTAAAAGAGTGACACAAAACTGCTGGTTAAGGCAGAGGACCTGGGCCCACCAAACAAGGAGAGGATAGACACCAGCTTGGGGACTTGAAAGCAGCAGTCCTGCTATCAAAACAGCCATGGCACAGGAATGGGGCCATTGGTAAAAGGAGCACTGCCTTTGGGGCATGCTGGAGCGAGCAGAGCCTAGGGAAGCATAATTATTTTCAGTGTAATACAAATAAAGCAAACATTACCTTGGTAGGAGCCTCATCGTCCTGTTGGTGATAGTTGTGTTAGATAGATTAAGATACAGAACTCCAGGACAACCCTCAGAAATGTATCTCATTGATTCATCCTGTACAAAAAGAGAAGAATCTTACCAAAGCCCAACAGGCTTTGCTACTCTATCATCTCTCTCCTGCTCCAAAAAAAAAAAAAAAAAAAAAAAAAAAAAAGTATATGCATGACTTAGTCTCTTCATAGTCTTTGATATTAGTAGTAAATCAAATTACATAGAAGGGGATGATTTTGCTTGAAGCTCCATTACTACCCCCTTTTCCCTTTTTTTGGAAATAAAGTCTCATTTCATCACAATGATAATACATTAAAATGTGAATCCTTACAAGTTCAACTCTGTGACAAGTAATGTGATCTGACATGTTAAAGTGTCGAACACTCCTGACTTACAGATGCATGAAAATGATTAAAAATGGATTAATTTTTTTAATTTACTAAAATTATTATGCAGGAATAGTAAATGCTCTCAACTGGACTTCATTAAAAATGAGTCCATGTTTATACATCTATAATTACATATAGATGTGTAGGTATGTGAATGTGTGTGTAATTAGTTTCTTTGGTTCTGTTACTGAATATATTAAAACAGCTAAAGAGTTTTTCACCAAATTTATGGCAAGTTTGTGATGGCCTGAAGTAAAATACAGTCTACATACATGTTGAACATGAAATTCAGTGTTGGGAGTACTGTGGGGGAGAATCTCAAAGATTCAAGCGACCCTCCCCCGGACAGCTGAAACCGAGGCGCAGGAGAATGGTGTGACTGTGACCTGAGAGGGAGAGAAAACAAACAGTGACTTCACGCATGAGCCCTAAATTGACATTTACAAGACCAGATGAATTGCAAGGTCTGATTGCAACGGAGCTGCTTCTCATATGGGTAACTATTTACAAAATGCTCTAGAATGAGTAGCAGCAGGTTTTTATTTAATGATGGTTGATGAGTCTCCCCAGGAACACTGAAGTGGTAAGCTTGTTTTAATTATTTATGGTACAAAGATTCTGGAAAGAATAGGCCATTGCAGGAAGAGGTGAACTGTCACTTGGTGAGGAGATGCGGTTTGGGGAAGAATTCTGCATGGCCTATATGGTCACCCTGGACAAAGGTTTATTTTCAGAAGGATAACCAATGTTCAACATTCTATTCTCAGTTATTTCCTGAAGTCATGGATATTAAAATAACAAAATCCTTCAGGGCAAGTTTCTATCACATGGGAGAGGGACTGGCTGATTTACAGGGACAGTGAACCACACCTCAGAAAGGACCCCAGGTTGTTTTTTAAGTTACAAAACTGCAGTTCTGCTCTAGCAAAGGCTCTATGTGCCAATGCCACAGAAGCACAAGGGTGGGGCTTTCCATATACACTAGACTCTTGCCGCTGCTTTCAAGCTGCCAGCAATTTTTCTAGATACCCCACCACCAAAATGCAGGATTTGGAATTATGTGGAAATTACAGCACAATTTTCCCAGGAGGAATGGAGAGAACAGCCATAATGTGTGGCATTTGAGTTTAATACAAACAAAATCTATCTTCAAAAATATGATACCAGTCAAATGTTAAAGTGATTATGGACGTTTTGGAAGACTCCAGCAAAAATGCAGCTGACATGGGGCAAGAAAAGGATAGAAAGCTGGTTTATACACTGTTACATAGGCAGCAACAGAGAAGACGGAAATTTGGGGGCCAGGAAAAGATGGAGTACGCTTTATGTATCAGAGGAATATGATTTTCCCTTTGATATGAGGAAACAACCCATTCTCTGAATTTTCTTCTTTGGAAAAAATTCAAATGCATCCTACTACTAATATTTAAAATAAGTCAAGGTTCACTCTCCAAATGTTGGAGCACATAAATGCAAAAACTGTTTTGAATGTCTACTTTGCAGAATGGCTTATAAATCTGTCTATAAAGCATTCGAATATGTCGGAAGAGAATATATTCATAAGGCAAGCTCCTTAGAAATCAAAGCTTTTTGAATGAATGTTACCCAACTCCTTAAATATAAACTTGTCTCCCATTTGTGTCTCAGAGGGAAAAACAATAGTAAAATATAACTGGATAAAATGATCCTCTCTGCATATTATTAGACTCTAAAACTGGAACAGATTTTGATGTTCACAAATTCAATGCAGATGGCACTGCTTTGACTGTCCTATTAGAAAGCCAAATTTAAAGAATATGAACTTTTATTAAAGTTTAGAACTGAATCTCCCTGAAGGCAAGAACTGAAACTGGATTCATCCTTAAATCCCTATAACACCTATATGAAATAACATAAATTCCCTATATATCTTTAAACATAGTAGGTACTAAAAATATCCACAGAAAGAACAAAACACGGTAGGAATTTGAAAGAAAGAACAATAATGATGAGACCAGAAGGCAGCAAGGAAGACCCAGGTCAGGAAGTCTCCTCCTGTGCCAAGGGGTGTGGCCTTCACCCTGGAGCTGGTGCTTAATGGGGGCATGACAGCACCAGGCCTTTTGTTCCAGTCCCTCCTATCTCCTCAGGGACTTGCTGCATTAGTTGCTTCAAGTGAGTTTCAACCAGTTTTATAAACCTCACACAGGTTTCCCTGCCTCTACTTTCCTTCTGCCACCCCCTTAGCCACTTTTCTGAAATGGTAAGTTTATACCTGATGCCTCATTTTCTTACCTCTTCTCCACTTCACAGTTCAATACAATTAGATTTCTGCCCCAATGTTCCACGAAAACTGTTCTAGCAAAAGCTACAAGTCACTTTCTAATTCTCAAAGCCAGGAGGCACCGCTCAGTCCTTTTCTCACCTGCTCACTTTGGTAGCTTCCTTTTGAAACGCTTCACTCTTCTGTCTTTTATGATGCTTCTCTGCTTTCAACCTACTTCTCTTACTGTTCCTCCTTAAGATCCTTTGTTATTTCTTCTCTGACTGTTCCTTAAGTAAGCACTCTCCAAGGTTCAATTCTCAGTCCTCTTCTCTTCCCATACCTTCTCTCTCTCACAGTTGATCTCATTTATTTGAAATGTTAATCAGGACATACACAGATGTCAATCCAACACGGAATCTCAAGTTCTAGCCAATAGTGTCCACTACTTACTAGATATCTCCATATAGTTTTATTCATTAAACATATACAGGATGGGGCAAGAGTAGGTTTACAGTTGTTCATATGAAAAATAATACAAGAATTAATAAATAACAATACAAGAATAAACTGTTTCATGTACTCACAACTGTAAACCTACTTCTGCCCTACTTTGTATTATAGAGTATTTACTGTGTTTTGTGTGCTGTGTGCTGTGACTATGACAAAGTGAGACACATCTCCTACCCTTCAGACCTCTTGGGCTAGAACCACAGTGATTAGGGCTACTGATGACAAGAACCCAGAGGAGCAGCAGCAAACCCTGTCTTGGGAGTCAGTGGTGTCTTGGGAAAGGAAGTGGAGTCTCCAGTAAGGCAAGCCAGCCAAAGAGGAAAGCAGCACCTGAGGACTAAGGGAAAGCGTATTGCAAACAAAGAGCACAGCCTGAGCAAAGGTAAAACAACAAGCAGCTAAGCGAACCAGCAAAGAAAGCATAGAAGTTTCTGGTCACTGAAGCTCAATATGTGAGGCTGGAAAGGGAGGCAGAGGCAGACCACAGAGGATCTGCAAGAGCTTTAGCTTTATCCAACAGTGTAGATGATGAGTGTGTGTATAAATGATGGGAAATGGGGCTAAAATGGTCAGATCCACCTTTTAGAAAGAGTAGTAATGTGCTCACAGGGTGGAAGACAGATAGGCGGCAGAAGAAAGCCTGGAGATAGGGACACAGAAGGAGATGGCTTGGGTTACATGTTCATTTCCATCTTCTTTGGCACTGCCACCGTGAAGACCATGAAAATGAGCCTATTGTTTCTGCTGGGTCTCAAATTTTCTGTCTCATACACATATGGCCTTAAATATAAATATAGTTCATGTGTGTGTAATTGTTGAATAGTTTCCACTTTCCAAAGACTCCGACCTTGGACATACATCTATCTACAGGATTAATAATAGCATTATATAAGTGGGATAAAATTTCTTGCCAATGTTTAACATAGTTTGCTTTTTTCCATATTTAATCCTAAATGAGCACACAGACATGTATTTTGGCAAAACCTCTGTGTATTAGCACTCCAATGTAGTGAGTCCAAATCTACATAAACAACAGTAAAATAAGCTTCTTATACTCACCGTCAGTGTTGGACAATCAGAGACATTCAGCTCTTGCAAATTTTTACAGAGGCCTAAATCAAACAAGTGACACATCACTGAACAACATATTACAAATGTTTAATTTAAAGTTTTTCCATCCTACATTCAATGCAGTGTATTCATTAGAAAACAAACAGAAACCTTGGCGAGTAACTTATTCTAAGTATTGGTTTCTTTTCCCAGAAAAACGATTTCTTTTGGCTTTAAAATTAAATATATACATGTTTGTTATTGTTTGAGGATTACAGAAGGAAGCAGAAAAGAGAAAAATACTACTTTGGGAAAAACAGTGCATAGTTAGAGTTTTAAGCTTCAAAGCACTTAAAGAAAACCAACCTGCTTTTTCTGTGGCATGACTTCTTGCTCATTTTTTTGTTTTCTGTTTTCTTTTAACATTTCATTATGAATATTTTCAAACATGCAAAACGTTGAGAGAGTTGAAGAATCATACAGTGAATATACCCACCACCTACATTTCTAGAAATTATACCTTATTGTATTTGCTTTTTCACATACCCACTTGTACATCCATCTCTCTATTCCTAAATTCATCTTATTTTTATGCGTTTCAAAGTAAGTTGCAGACATCAGCATACTTTCCCCCAAATACTTCAGCATGCATATTACAAATAATTCATCAAACATAATAATTAACAAAATATTTATGATTATTTTAGGTTAGATTTACATACAATTTACAAAGAATTGCAGTTACAGAAGTGGAGGGTTAGAAAGGCCAAGTGCCTGATTAGCTCTGGGAGCAGAGGCGACTGCACAGCTTACGGTCTTGTGAGGGAGACATGTACACAAAGAGCCAGATGGCAAAGTGATACACAGCACTCTGGGTCTAGGCTGAGAGGAAGAAAAACTCCAAATCTGAGACAAAAGAGAAGCATTTAGGAGCCGGAGCACGAAATGTGGGTAGAGGGATGCTTGAGGCAAAGAAAGAGGGGAGGCGTTCTAGGTGGAGGAGACCCCATGAAGGAGGAAAACTCGAGGCTAGGGAGTGATCCTGGCATTCACATGCCGCAGTGAATAGAAAACACATCTGCCATTCATAACCACACAGCCCCACGGTAATAATAACAGAAATGTTATCAATTATAAATCCATTTTGAACATTTCTTCCTCTGCCAGGAATGGACTATGTCCTAAGTAATAAATGCAAACCAAAACTACTTTCAGGATTAAAAAATGGAAACAATTCTTTAAAATGTGCAGATCTTGGAAGTCACCAATGATACTTGCTAAGGAAAAAATAGATTGCTCCCAAAATATAATAACTAAGTTTATGAAATTAATATTTTTATAGAATGGTTACTTGCGAGTCATTCATGCATTCAGCAAGTTTTTATCAGGAACCTGCTTTATGCTAAAAATTCTATAGGTACCAGAAATACAGCAGTGAACAAAATAGATAAAAATCTCTGCCTTTATGGAGTTTACATCCTAGTTAAGGGGTTGAGCGGGACTGACAGTAAACAAAAGAAGTTAAATAGATATTTTGACAGCTGGTGATAAGTGCTCTGGAGAAAAATAAAACAAGAAAAAGGGTGGAGAGCAGCCAGCAAATGGAAAGGGGTGTGGCTTCGAATACAGCAGTCAGAGAAGTCTTCACTGCGAAAGAGGCCTTTGAGCCAAGCTGTGCGGGACATATCTAGGACAGTTGCAATTTACACTGAGCATTTCTGGAGCCCACAGTAAACATGACTGGTGATTGGGGGACAATAAATGAGAGAAAGAAATAAGCTCAGGAAGATAGCCATAGGAGTCCTCCTATTCGCACATCTCAAGGCCATAAGGAGAAACCCCTAATTTCTTGAATCCAATGTGATGATCAGCTACAGGTTTCAGTTTTCATAATGCTAAGCCCTAACCTTGTGGGATACTTCCCCTGGACCAGGCACTGTGAAGCCCGATTCATCCCCTCAACAATACTAGAGGTAGCCTCGGTCCCATTTTACAGGTGCAGAAGATGAGGTTAAATAATTAGCCTGTGGTTGCACAGTTACGCAATTAGGAGAGTCTGGATTTGAATTCAGGGCTCAAACATTTAGCCACTAACCAAGGCACATAGGAGGGTGCAGAGCCTTATACACCACTATTCTTAATATGTCTTTATTATCTGGAATGCCTTTGCTTAAAATAAAAAAATTGCTATTATCTGTCAATGACAGTGCTCGCAGTGGTCCTTAACTAAATGTTTTTTTCTCCTGCAACCTAGGGACTCCACCATACCTCAGCTGGATCTCATTGTTCCTGATGTGCATTAGTTAAAATTACCCAAACTTGGATTTCAAAGGAATAATTTCATTGTTCCATCTGTTGCACTAAGTAATTGGGGCCAGCTGGATGTCAGGATGCACGTGGTTACCATCATAACCCTGCTTTTCTTTTGTAAAGCCGCTGAGCTCCGCAGGACAGACCCTGGGGGTGTGAAAAACCAAACGAATCATGGCCAGGTGGGTGGGGGCCGGAGAGGCTTCAACCCAGTCAAACGCTCTACACCAGACCTCCCCTGCGAAGTGTACACATATCTTCATGAGAAATACTTAGATTGTCAAGAAAGAAAACTACTTTATGTGCTGCCTGGCTGGCCTCACGATTTGCTGCACATGTTGCTAGCAAGAAACAAGATCCGCGTATTGAAGGACAACATGTTTTCCAAGTTTAGAAATCTTAAAAGCTTGGATCTGCAACAGAATGAGATCTCCAAAATTGAGAGTGAGGCTTTCTTTGGTTTAAATAAACTTACCACACTCTTACTGCAGCATAACCGGATCAGAGTCTTGACAGAAGAAGTGTTCATTTATACACCCCTCCTGAGCTACCTGCGCCTTTATGACAACCCCTGGCACTGTACTTGTGACATAGAAACACTTATTTCAATGTTGCAGATTCCAAAGAATCGAAATTTGGGGAACTACGCCAAGTGCAAAAGCCCAGAAGAGCTAAAAAATAAAAAACTGCGGCAGATAAAATCTGAAGAGTTATGTGATGAAGAAGAAAAGGAAGAATTGGATCCCAAAACCCAAGTGTCAGGGAGACCCCCAGTCAGGAAGCCTGAGGTGGACTCTTCTCTTTGCCACATTTACGTGTTTCCCATACAAACACTGGACTGCAAAAGGAAAGGTTTGTAAGTTTCTTACTTTTTCATTTTAAAGTGAAATCACTTTTTTAAAGTGAATCATCATTTTCATGGATGATTTTAAATATTCTTTAAATCTTAAAACTCTTCCTACACCTAACCATGCCTTGAAGTTTTGGGTGTAACTTCCCCTAGAAATCTTTCTTCCATGACAATGGAACCTACTCCAGGCTTTCCTGGGGTCCAAACTCAAGATGGTTGGTGATATGGGGACATTGGAGGAGGGAAGGAGGAACAGCAATAAGGGTCCTCATCTCCTTTTTTAAGTTAAAGCACTGTATTCCTTTATTTATTTATTTATTTTGATTGGTATTTTTTAATTGTCTTTTTTTCCATTACCATTTATCCCCCTCATATGTCCTTCTCCTCTGCAAGCACCATACTGTTGTTCATATCCATGTGTCCTTTTTCCTCTTTCCTCAATCCCTTTACCCTCTAACCTTGCCACCGAATAGCTGTCATCCTGCTCTCTCTGAGTCTCTCACTATTTTGCTACTTAGTTCAGTTTGTTCATTAGATTCCACATATAGCTGAAATCATATGGTACTTTTCTTTCTCTGTCTTATTTCACTTAGTATAATGTCCTCCAGGTTCATTCATGCTGTTGCAAATGCTAAAATTTTCTTTTTTATGGCAGAGTAGTACTCCATTGTGTAAATGTCCCATAGCTGTTTTATCCACTCACCTCCTGAAGGACGCTTGGGCTGCTTCCATATGTTGGTGATTGTAAATACACTCCAATGAACATCGGGGTGCTTATGTTCTTCTACATTAGTGTTTTGGGCTTCTTTTGATGTATTCCCAGAAGTGGAATCACTGGGTCAAAAGGCAGATCCATTTTTAATTTTTTGAGGTATCTCCATGCTGCTTTCCACAGTGGCTGCACCAGTCTGCATTCCCAAAAACAGTGCAAAAGAGTTCCCCCTTCTCTACATTCTTGCCAGCACTTGTTGTTTGCTGATTTCTTGATGATAGCCATTCTGACAGGTATGAGATGGTATCTCACTGTGGTTTTCATTTGCATTTCTCTGATGATTAGTGGCATCGAGCATCTTTTCATGTCTATTGGCCATCTGTATGTTTTGTTTGGAGAAGTGTCTATTCAGGTCCTTTGCTCATTTTTTAATTGGATTGTTTGTTTTTGTGGTGGTGTTATGTAAGTTCTTTATAAATTTTGGATATTTACCCCTTATCAGATGTATTGGACAAATTGTTCTCTCCCCATGGGGTTGTCTTTTTATTATGTTGATCATCTCCTTTGCTGTGCAAAAGCTTTTTAGTTTGATGTGTCCCAGTTGTTTTATTTTTCTTTTGTTTTTCTTGCCTGGGGAGATATATCAGATAAAATATAGCTGTGAACAATGTCTGAGATTTTGCTGCCTGTGTTTTCTTCTACGATTTCAATGGTTTTGAGTTTAACAGTTAAGTCTTTAATCCATTTTGAATTTATTCTTGTGTGTGGTGTGAGAAGGTGGTTTAGTTTCATTTTTCTGCACATATCTGCCTAATTTTCCCAACACCATTTATTGAATAAACTATCATTAGCCCATTCGTTGTATGTGCTTATTTCCTCTGTCAAATATTAATTGGCTATAAAGGTGTGGGTTTATTTCTGGGTTCGTATTCCATTCCATTAATATGGTTTTTGTACAATTACGATGCTGTTTTGATTACTATGGCCTTATAGTCTAGTTTGATATTAGGTAGTGTGATTCTTCCAGTTTTGTTCTTCGTTTTTGGATTGCTGTTACTATGTGGGTCCTTTTGTGATTCCTTATAAATACTTGAAATATTTGTTCCACTTGTGTGAAATATGACATTGGAATCTTGATAGAAAATGCATTGAATCTGTAGATCGCTTTGGGTAGCTTGGACATTTTAATGATGTTAGTTCTTCCTATCCATAAACATGGTATGCTTCCTCTTATTTGTATCTTCTTTAATTTCTCTGAGGCCAGGTCTTTTACATCCTAGGTTAGATTTAATCCTAAATATTTTATTCTTTTTGAAGCAATTGCGAATGAGATTGTTTTCTTAATTTCCCTTTCTGTTAGTTTATTATTGGCGTATAAAAAAGTTACTGATTTCTGGATATCAATTTTGTATCCTGCTACTTTGCTGAAATCATTTATCAGTTCAAGTAGTTTCTTGGTGGAAATTTTGGCGTTCTCTATGTACACTAAATGTCATCTGCAGATAAAGACAGTTTTACTTCTTTCCAATTTGGATGCCTTTTATTTCTTCTTCTTGTCTGATTGCTATGGCTAGGACTAATAGTACTATGTTGAATAAGAGAGATGAATGTGGACATCCCTGTCTTGTTCCCAATCTTAAGGGCAATGCTTATAGTTTTTGCCCATTGAGTGTGATGCTGGCAATGGGTTTGTTATATAAGGTCTTTATTATTTTTAGGTATGTTCCCTCTATTCCCACTCTGCTGAGGGTTTTGATCATAAATTGGTGCTGGGTTTCATCAAAAGTTTTTCCTACATTTAATGACATGTTCATGTGGTTTTTATCCTTCATTTTGTTTATGTGGTGAATCACATTTATTGATTTGCAAATGCTGTCCCAATCATGAATTCATGGAATAATCACCTGATCATGGTGTATGATCTTTTTGAAGTATTGCTGTATTTGGTTTACTAACAGTTTGTGGAGGATTTAGCATGTATGTTCCTTAGGGATACTGATCTATAATTTTCTTTCATTGTAGTGTCTTTATCTGGTTTTGGAATTAGGGTAATAAAGGCCTAAAAAAATGATCTTGGGAGTTCTCTCATCTTGAATTTTTTTTGGAATGGTTTGAGAATAGGTGTTATTTCTTCTCAGAATGTCCCTCAGGCAATACTCCCACCTTTGTTCATGCCCGCAGGTCATACATGTAAGTGCTTTGGCTACTCCATTTCCTATACTGTACTTTAAATCCTCATAGCTATTCTGTAACTACCCATTTGTACTTTTTAATACCCTCACCTCTTCACCCATTGCCCCACAACTCCTCCACCAAAACATTCTCCATATCCATAATTCTCTCTCTGTTCTTCTTCTTTGCTTCATTTGCTTTTTTAGATTCAGCTGTCGATGGATATATATTTTTGTCATTTTATTGCTCATGGTTTTGATCTTCTTTTTCTTAAATAAGTCCATTAACATTTCATATCATAATGGTTTGGTGATGATGAACTCCTTTAGTTTTCTCTTGTCTGGCAAGCTCTTTATCTGCCCTTTGATTCTGAATGATAGCTTCTCTGGGTACAGCAATCGGGCTGTAGGTCCCTTCTTTCATGACTTTGAATATTTCTTGCTAGTCCCTTCTAACCTACCAAGTTTCTTTTGAAAAATTAGCTGACAGTCTTGTTGCAACTCCCCTGTAGGTAACTAACTTCTTTTCTCTTGCTGCTTTTAAGATTCTCTCTTTAGCTGTAAACTTTGGCGTTTTAATTATGATGTGTCTTTGAGTGGGTCTCTTTGCACCCATCTTGTTTGGGAATTTCCGTGCTTCCCGGATTTGCATGTCTATTTCCTTCACCAAATTAAGGAAGTTTTCTTTCTTTCTTTTTTTTTTTTCAAATAGATTTCCAATATCTTGCTCTTTCTCTTCTCTTTCTGGCACCTCTGTGATGCGAATGTTGTACCTCTTGAAGTTGTCCCAGAGACTGCTATATGATCTTCATATTTTTGGATTCTTTTTTCTTCTTCTTGTTCTGATTGGTTGTTTTTTGCTTTCTTATGTTCCAAATCATTGATTTGATTCTCAACTTCATTAACTCTACTGTTGTTTCCCTGTAAATTATTCTTTATTTCAATTAGTGAATCCTTAATTTCTGACTGGAATTTTTTTTTTTTATGCTGCTGAGGTCCTCTCTAAGTTCCTTGAGCATCCTAATAACTGGTGTTTTGAACTATGCATCTGATAGGTAGCTTATCACCATTTTGTTTAGTTCTTTTTCTGGAGTTTTGATGTGTTCTTTCATTTGGACCATGTTTCTTTGTCTCCTCATTTTGGCATCCTCCCTGTGTTTGTTTCCTTGTATTTGATAGAGCTGCTTTGACTCCATGTCTTGGTAGTGTTGCCTAATGTAGGAGGGGTCCTTTAGGGTCGGTGGCACAGACTCCACTATCACCCAAGTTCAGTACTTGAGGTGCACTCTTCCTGTGAGCTGAGTACACCCCAAGTCGAGTCTTGGTTGCTGTTGGCAGATCAGTGGTAAGGGATTTATCCAGGCCAAGGATTGGCTGTGTCCACTTACCATGAACCTCCAGCCTCCGTGGAAGATCAGCTGTGCAGGGTCAGGGTGGTGGTGTTCTGATGTGGCCTGTAGCTGTCCACTGGGTGTTTTGGCCCTGTGGTTTCCTAATTGGTGCAGGCCAAAGTCAGCCCCACTCCTGTTTTGCCTGGGGCCACCCTGCCTGAGCTATAAAGCAATCTGAGATGGCAGCTACTTGTGCTGGGCTTGGTGATTCCAAGCTGTGAATGTAGACTGGCTGCTTCTAGTGCTAGGCCTAGGGCTCACTGATGCCAGCAGTTGCTTTTGAGAGGATTTAGGAAGTTGTGAAACACGAACCAAGACCAGCTATTCATATGGAAAAGTAGCTTTTGTAGGCCTGTAAGTTGGATGGGGTGGAGTTTCTGGGAATCTCCAAGGTGGGTCAAACAGTGTTAGCTAAGTTGATAGAGTATCAGATATGGCACCAGCTGGCTGGCTCTATGGCTCTGTTGGGAGAGGGTTTAGAAAAGGTACAATGGCCTCTGCTTGCTTTGATGCCAGACACTTCAGTTCCTCCTAGTATATCACTGGTGCCTTTCAAGCTGCTATTCCAGTACTTGAGCTCAGAGGGAATGAGTTGAGTAGGTGATTTCACACTTGGGCTCCAGAAATTTTTTCTACCAACTTAGTCTTTACTGGTTTTTGCAGTCAGAGGTTTTGGGGACTTATCTTCCTGGCACTGGAACCCTGGGTTGGAGGGCCTAGTTGGGACC